CTGTGTACAAACATGAACGACACTTATTGTTTCCGCTGCTCTGTTCAGACTCTTAACGGACTCGGCATCGACCGACACCTGCTGGGGCTCAAGCTGCAGTCTATCGAGAAAGGACTGACCATCCCCAAGATCTTCATGGACACGGCGTACGGGCTGGCGACGCACTGGAAACTACGAACAGGGCAGGTGTGTTCCTGTTTGTCCGATAAACAGAAGTTCATTAACCGCTCCACCCTCACTCTGGGTTTCACCGTCACACCTGTGCAGGTTTAACAGTCACATTCTCCTCTCGTGTCCCTTCAGGTGCCTGCGAACACTGACAGCGTGATGTGTTTCGGGCCCCTTGTTCCCGACGGTTACGCGATTTGTTACAACCCTCAGGAAGACCACGTCCACTTCTCCATCACGGCCTTCAACTGCTGCGAGGAGACGCACGCTGAAACGTTAGCGCTCACGCTGAAGGACACGTTGTGTCAGCTACAGGAGCTGCTGCAGCCTACTGTGTAGAGCTGCTCCATCCACACAACATGTCCAACAGGATCAACCCACTCGCCTACACCTGGAAATAAACCTCTTTATATCCCTTCAGTTCTGGGTGACGCTTGACATGGATGTTTTCTTGTGAACTCCACTGAAATCAGACTTAGGTGCTTTTTTTTAAGCTTTTGATGAAACAGTAGATATTTTTTCTAGCAAGAGCGCAACAAGCAAGGAGCATTATATATTTGCTACAGTGGATGAATCCAAAGCAAAAGTAAAGCCAACCCGACACTCCAGCATTAATCAGATCAAGCCAAAGTGTTTGTAGAAACTTACCGCACTCCTTTTTCCGAGTCATGTAATGACCCGTATACTTTCTAGTTCCCTCTACAGAGACTAAATGTGCTGCGCTGCCGTCAGCGATAATAATATTAATAATCCCCATGATTTTGTTGGATCAACAAGTTTTCTTGAAAAGGACCAAAAGTCAGAAAGCAGGTTGTTGTCGGTGACGGTACAGAGAAACTGTATTTACTGTATGTTGTATGTGACGAGGCTGCACGACTGGTTAATAAAGCCTTTTATCACATTGATCCTCATTGAAACCCTGTTGTGTATGTGTGTGATATTAGAGTTGTGTGTGTTTTGTGTTGACTTTTTATTCACAATGAAAATCAGAGCTATGTCAGCCATTCAGAAAAACCACAAGTCACTGTCGTTCACTACAGCAGAACCAGAGGAAACGGACAACTTCCTCAGGCCCCAGACACCACATGTTCATATGTCATTAGATTTAGAAATCAGATTTATATATTGTTCAACATAACAATAATAAAATGGCTGATAA